GCATTCATGGAGGCATCCGGTAACTCCTGCGCCTGGATGGCTATTTCCACCAACGCCAGAAGGCGGGGCCAGGAGATGTCTCGCCGTGAATCGTGCAATGCCGGGTTCGGACAGGTGACCATCCTAAAACCATCCGACCTCGTAAGTGAGATCAGGTGGTTTTCAGCGAAGGTCAACGCGCACGAGAGATGCACGGGGCATGAGCACGGCGCGGTGATGAATGGCCGTCCGTCTTCTATCTGCGGCCTGGTGACAGTTGACGCAGATCGCTGTCATGCCCGTGCCCGTCCTCCCGCGCGCGGCATTCAGTTTGTGTAACTGGAGCAACCCTGCGTCTCGCAGTTGTACCCGGATCGTTTCGATCCTCCCGTCCAGAGATCGCCGAGCAGCTTCGCTTTCGTCTGGGTCCACTCGGTCGCTCTCCAATAGGATGTCGACCGCTTGGAAGCCATGTCTTCCACTTCCGTCCTGGTTTGTGCACTCGATGTTGTCGTGCCCGTTTTCTAGGGCAGTCGGGAGTTCATCTTCGACGAGCTCCACTGCGCATCGTGTATGGTATCGGCACTCACAGGAGTTCAAAATCACGGTTGCCCCTTGACCGATGTGTCCATGACAGACTCCGCAGATATGGCGATGTTCGTGTGCTTAGCCTCGATCGCGGTGGAACGAACAAGGTCCCGCTCGTATCGTGCAACTCGTGACGCTCCAGAAACAACTTCACCTTCATGCTGCAGCCGCAAATTTTCGCTTGTTGCCGAGATAGTGGGCTCGCTACGGCACATTGGACGGTGGAGGACATCACCTGCTTCCCTCACACAAGCTCTCGCATAGCATCCCAGACACATGGCGTGACCGCAACCGGCGAGGCTTACCGACGGTTCAATAACGGTGCCCAAGCAAATACCGCAATCCTGCGCTTCTTCGGTTCTCTCCGTTACGTCGACGCTCATCGACGGCTGCCGGTTACCTTGGCCCGAGGGCTCGTGTCCTCCCCGTGGAGACGCTGTCGTTGTCCCCTCCTCCCCTTGAACCGCTTCACCTTGCTGTACCACACACAACTCGGGTCGGGATGCGGGCCCGCCGTTCTCTTCGCCCCCGCCTCGTACATGACGGATAGGTTCCGATTCCGTGCCAGGATGCGGGGCATCCGGCGAGGCCGACAGTTTGTGGTGGGGTATATGAGGAAGCCGATAAGCCGCGTGTGGCTCCGGCGATGGCTGAGAAAACCGACCCTCCTGGGGGGAAAGTTCGTCTGCCACGCGTCGCTCTTCTGCTTGCCTCGTTCGAGACCTCGTTCTCGTCGAAATGCGGCCCTCATCGTTCAACCCGATGCCTTAATCCCCTCCGTTCCCCCTCGCCCCGGCCGTCTGCTCCGTCGTGGTGGCACACGGGGAGGCGTGTTGGGCCGCTGGGCTTCCTTCTTCCCGAGTGGGTTGGGTAGATGCATCGGCCGGCGGACCCCTTCTGCTGAACCGTGAGCGGGATCCTCCGACAGTTGAGCGGGAGTTGCGAACTGCGGCAACTCCTCTGCTGCGCGGACGATCCGATCTCCCGTGGATGCTGTAACGGTAGTTATCAGTGCTGTTAGCGTGGATGCCGGCTCCGTGTTTCCAGAGGTGGCAACCTCCGCACGCGGTGTGCATATCTCTGGCGCTGTAGCCGATCCCCCGGATGGGGCTCCCCCTTGAAATTCTCGTATCTCCCGTCCTGGCGACATAGGCGCCGGTGAGATCGCTGCGGTGGCCGAAGATGCGGTAGGCGGCTGTGACCAGCAATCCGCTAAATCGCTCAATCCTACCGGCTGTGGGGCAGTACAGGACGCCGAAGCGGGATGCATCCCCGCTCTCCGCACGCGCGATACCTGGTCGCGCGATGACGGGCTCTGCCTGAATGATATCCTCGCATGTTCCTCAGCGTTGGAAGCCCTGTCGGGTGTTTGGGGAACCGATCGAGAGCGGGGGGGCGCCGGCGCGGTCGCGCCTGGTTGAGGCGGGTCGACGTCCATGTCGTCCGCTCCCGCGTCCACACCAGTCCGATCGGTCGGCAAATCCGATGCGGATGCCGCTGGTGTCGCCGGCGTCGAAACGCGTGCTAGCCCGGGGGCCTGTCTTCGTGGGGGACCCGCATCCGGTGCGCAGTCGGTCACCCTCAAAGACGTGGACACCGGCGGTGCAGCCGAGATTCTGCCTTCGTCACGGAACCGTTCGTTTCGCTGCCTCGCCACCGCTGTTCCAGCCCCGCAAATGGCTGTAGACGTCCTATTCTCACCTCGAGTTGTTGTTGCGATCCCAGTATTGACCGGCGAGACTCCGTCGCCAGCACGAGCGCGCGGCGGGAGAGGCGGGGCTCTCGCGGTTTTCCTTCCCGAATCCGCTACCCTCCTGTGCGATGCCCGTTCTAGGATCCCGACAGGTGGTGTTGCCGCTGGAAGCCTACCCCCTTCCCTTTCGTCTGGCTGTGTAAGACGGCTATGCGGTCCGGCCCCCGTGATTATCCCGTGCCGGAAAGATGGCCGTATCCACCGGAAAATGCTACCTAGTAACCCTCGACTGTTCCCCCTCGCTGCCCCTTCGGCTCGCTGAGGAGGATGGTTCCGCTGGCCGAAAGGATTCCCCTGCCGAAACTGCTTGGAGGAACCATCAGTGCTCGACGAAAAGGTCACCCGAAGTCGCTGTCGAGGTCGATCAGATAACTCAGTATCAAGCGACGCCGAGCGCCTCCTCCTCCGTAGGACACCAGGCAGTGCGGCCGCCTCCGTCGCCCAGCGAGGCGAAGGTGAAAGACATCTGGGTCTTGCCCGGGGCCGCGTGGACGTGGACCCTAAGGACTCCGAGCGTCTTCTTCATGTCCCAGTCATGCGTGGCGGGGACTCACGCGGTAAGCTTGGCCCGACATCGACTCTGACTGCAGTGGCTGGTCCACCTCCTTCACCCGAAAGGATCCTCGTTCCGGGGGCGGCGCCGTCCCCACCGCTGTGTCCCCCACTGTCGGACGTCGTCAGTGCGGGTCCATGCTGCAGTCCTCCAACTCTGCGAGGGGTGATGTCCCCGTCGCGTGTATGGTCAGCTCTGGTTATCCAGGCTGGAATCGTTTGACACCTTCCCCTCCCAATCGACCGAGCGCTCTGGGACGCAGCCTGTGTACTCCCTGGCGCTAGGGGTTGTCGCTCTCGTTCGCTCTCGACGTGTTCACCCCCTCCTGGTAGCGCCGACGCGGCTTGGCGCTGCAGCCCGCCAATCTGGCGATCATTTCCATCACGAACACGCCCGCTCGCGGCCATCCACGCTGGCGTTGCCATGTGGAGGCCACGTCCTCTGGACTGAGAAACCTGGGTTCTCGAGAACGCATCGCGGGAACTGGCTGATCCCCGCATAGACGAACGGCGCTCGGACGGGACCCGGGTTTGGGGTGACGCGTTGAAGATGTTCCCGTTACCTGACCCCCTTGCACGACCCCGATACCTGGCTGACGTTAATCCCGTCCTAACGGCCCCCGTCGATGGCTCACTACGGTTCTGTGCCCTATGTGGAGGGGGGCCACCGTCGACCGTAACTGTTCTCCCCCGCTCCCATACACGCGGTTCATTCGTGTTTCTTGCAGCTGAACGCCTTCGCGATCCGCGACCGGACTGTTCTTCCCGACGCGTGCTGCGGTCCATAACTGGCGGGAAAACTACAGAATGACCATGACGAGCACTTTGCTGCTGCCAAATCCTACCTCCCGCCGCACCAAAATGAGACCGGGTCATTACCACGAGGCTGCTGCTGCTGCTGCTGCCGATCCTCTCTTTCCACAATCGCACACACACACACACACACACACACACACACACACACG